CTTTTGCTGGGAAGGAGGGAGAGGCAGGATTTGAGGTTGGTGTGGTACCGAGGTGGCTTGTGACTGGTTTCATTGTGCAGTATCCTCACTTGTGGTCAGAGGCTTGTCCTCACTGCCCATCCCCTGGAGGCAGTCCCCACCTGGGAGGAAGGAAAAAGGAGTAGTCTTTGCTAAAGTTATCCATCCACTAGCTAAATTTGGTGACTGCCTTTGGCTCCTGCTATTACTTGGCCACAGCAAACTTCTACACTGCTTTCCCACTCCTTCTTTTAAACACGCCTTTGGTTTCCATAACAACCTATACAGCTGAATTTGTTGCAACTTTTTAGGTCACTGTCTCTTAATCTCTTCCACACAATCTCTGTGTGGTTCTTCCGGTTCCAGGTTTCTCTCCTCCTCCTCCTCATTTTCATTGAGATATGATTCACAAACCATAAAATTCACATCTCTCTCTCTCTCTCTCTCTCTCTCTTATTTATTTATTTATTTAGCTGTGCTAGGAATGGAACCTAGGTCCTTGCACATGCTATTCACAAGTTCTTCCAATGAACCACACCCTCAGCTTCTCATCTTTTCAAAGTATCCATTTCAGTGGTGTTTAATATATTCACAAAGTTGTGTAACCGTGACTCCTCATTCCAGAACATTTTTGTCATCCCCAAGAAGAAACTATATGTACTATTGGAAGTCACTCCCCATGTTCCCCTTCCCGCAGTCCTCAGTAATTACCAGTCTACTTTCTGTCTGGATTTACCCATTTTCATGTTTCCTGTATATGCAACCATATGATGTGATTGGCTTCCTTCACCTTAATGTTTTTAAGGTTTGTGCATGTTGTAGCATGGGTCAGTACTTCATTTCTTTTGTGGCTGAAAAGAAATATCATATTTTGTTTATTTCTTCAGCAATTGATGAGTGTTTGAGTTGTTTCTTCTTTTTGGCTATTATATATAGGGCTGCAATGTGCATTTGGGCATAATTTTTTCTTTTCTTTCTTTTTCTTTTGGCAAAAGGGTACCGGGAGGGGTGCTGGAGTTGGTTCAGTGATAGAGCACTTGCCTGGCGTGTATGAGGCCCTGGGTTTGATCCTCAGCACCACATGTAAATAAATAAATAAATAAGAAGACTCATTGACAATTAAAAATATTTTTTTAAAAGGGGGTATTAGGGAATGAACCCATGGGGGCTCCACCACTGAGCCACATCCCCAGACTTTTTCAGTTTTATTTTGAGACAGGTCTTGCTATATTGCCCAGGCTGTCTTCAAATTTGCAATCCTCCTGCCTCAGCCTCCCAGTTCACTGGGATTACAGACCTATGCTACCATGCCTGGCTGTGCATACTACATTGTGTGGACATATGTTTTTAATTCTCTTGGGTAAATACTTGGGGGTGGAATTGCTGGGTCATGTGATAACTCTGTTTAATTATTTGAGGAACCAACAAACTGGTTTTCAAAGCAACTGTACCATTTTACATTCCCTCCATCGATGTATGAGGGTTCCAATTTCTTCACATCCTAACACCTGTTGTTGATTGTGGTCTTCAAGGAGGAGGTATGGAGAAGCATCTCCTTGTGATTTTGACTTCCTTTCCCAACATCATTAGTGATGTCAAGCATCTTTCTATGTGTTCATTGTCTATTTAATATCTTCTTTGGAGAAATTTTCATTCAAGTGTGTTCATTTTTAATTGGATTATTTGTTTTTATTGTTGAGTTGTCAGAGTTCTTTTAAAATTGTGGTTTAATAACCATATATAACAAACTTTACCATCTTAATACATTTAAGTATGCATTTTAGTGTTAAGTACATTCACATTGTTGTGTATCCAATCTCCAAAACATTTTCATATTGCAAATCTGAAATTCTATACCCATAAACAACTTCTCCTTTCCCTCCTTCCTCAGCCCTTGGCATCCAGCATTCTTTTGGTTTCTATGATTTTTTTTTTTCTTGGTGGTGCTTGGGATTAACCCAGGAACTCATGCATGTGAGGGAAACACTCTCCCAACTTGCCTATATCCCCAGCCCAGTTTCTATGAATTTGACTGCTTCAGGTACCTGGTGAAAGTGAAATCATACAGTATATGTCTTTTTTTTTTTTTTTTTTTTTTTTGTACCAAGGGTTGAACCCAGGAGTGCTTAACCACTGAGCCACATCCCCAGCCTTTTTAAATATTTTATTTAGAGACAGGGTTTCACTAAGTTCCTTAGAGCCTCACTTAGTTGCTGAGGCTGGCTTTGAACTTGCAATCCTCCTGCCTCAGCCTCCCGAGCAGCTGGGATTACAGGCATGCACTCAGCGTCTGGCTGCATTTGTCTATTTGTGGGTAGTTTATTTCATTTAGCATAAGGTCCTCAAGGTTGTAAAAGTTTTCTATATATCTTGGATATTAGTCTTTTATCAAACCTATGATTTGCAGATATTTTCTTCCATTCTTTGGTTATCTTTTCTGGTTATCTTTTCTAATGATATTAGTAGCAAAAAAAGAAATTCTGATGAAGTCCAATTTATCTGCTCTTTTTCTCCCATTTCTTGTGCTTTTGGTGTCATATCAAAGAGACCATTGCCTAATGGTTCTCGAAGACTCACACCTATGTTTTCTTCTAAGAGTTTTATAGTTTTTGCTTTGACATTTTGGTGTTAATTTTTCTATATAGTGTAAGATAAGGGTCTGCCTTCATTCTTTTTCATGTGAATGTCCAGCTGTGCCAGTACCATTTGTTGAAAGATTATTCTTTCCCCCCATTGTCTGGCATTCTTGTAGATAGCTTCTCTTCTCTGTGCCTTCTTTCCTGGAGGAATCTTACTAGCTTCTATTCCCATTGGGCCACTAACTCAGAAATCTGTCCCTCTAGCCTAGACTTTTCTTTGGAGCTCCTCAGTCATATAGGACTTGACATCCATATAAGTGATATCTTCACTTCAATATATCTCCCACTTGTTCAAAACTGAGCTTGTGGTTCTTTCCTCCAAACATGCTCCTCTTCCAGGTGTTGTCCCCTGTTGTATCTCAGCAAGATGGCCCAGTACCCTACTCCCTTAAGCCAGGCATCTTCTAGAGTCATACTTAACACTCTCTCCGTTCCGCCCCACATCCAACTGATCACTGAGTCGGGTAGATTCCATTTGGAAATAATCTCCTTAATCCATCCTGGCCCTCCATCCCCACTGCTACCCAGTCCTAGACATCATCTGTCTGCTGTTAGGCTACAGGCTCCTAACTGATTTGTCTCCATGGGAACAAAGGATGAGAGAGTTACACAGTGGATCCCACGTGTTTATCACCTGGCTACAGTAACCTGCAACGTAAGGTCATCTCTGTTTTATCAGCATTCACCACCGCCCCCCCCCCCCGCCCCCGCCCCCGCCGTCCCACTTCTGTTGGATTACTTTTATTTGTTTATTTTTGGGCTACTGAGAATCAAACCCTGGGGCACTCTATCACAGAGCTACATCCCTAGTTCTTTTGTTGTTGTTGTTTGTTTTTGGAGGACACAACATCTTTGTTTGTATGTGGTGCTGAGGATTGAACCCGAGTCGCAAGCATGCCAGGCGAGCGCGCTACCACTTGAGCCACATCCCCAGCCCTACATCCCTAATTCTTTATATTTTCTCTTGAAACAGGATCTCCCTAAGTTGCCCAGGTTGGTCTCCAACTTGTGATCCTCCTGCATCAATCTCCCAAGTTGCTATGATCACAAGCACGCACCATGGGCCTGACTTCTGTTGGATTACTTTGAAGCAAACCCGTACATCAGTGCATTTTTAACATACAATGTTGATACTACACTTCCCTGTTTAAATCCATATTTTCATTAATTCCCTGTTACTTGTAAGACAATGACCAAAACCCTTAACTGGGGCCCCAAGGGCCCTGCATGATCTGGCCCCAGCAACCTTGGCAGCCTCATTGCTCACTGCTTCACTACTCACCTGTACCCTCCAAACACAAAGGCCTTGTTTATGGACATCATACATGTCCTGCACATTTGGCCTCAGGGCCTTTGCATGTGATAACCCTCTACAGTGACCCCTCTCCAATTGTCATTTTCCATCTGGTTAGCATTCATTGGCTATCCGCTCAAATACTGTTCTTTAGAAAAGTCTTCCTGCTTCCCAGGGTTGAGTCAGGACTCTGATAGAAGCCCTTCTAAGACCCTGTGCTTTTCCTTCATTGTATATATTACACCATTATAATTATGCATTGGTTTATGTAAATATTTGCTTCATGTCTGCCTCTCCCAGCAGACATGTTGCAGAAAGTACCTTGCCTTACCTCCTAGTACACAAAACGCTTGCCCAGATCTGAGAGAAGAGCAGGCATTCAATTGCTATTTGTAGAAGGAAGGTAGAAAGGAGAGAGGCTGGCAGTTCTCTGAGGACCAAGCTCCTGCCAGCCTCTCCTGGGAGAGGAGTTTTTCTGACCACACAGGGCTGGTGGCCATATGTAGTTCAACCAGTTCCTGGTCTCTGCTTTCTTCCCCTCAGACATTTGTTTTCCCTCCTGTGCTGAGATTTTCTTCCCTCTTTGCAAAGGAGTAACTGAGGCCCAGAAAGAGAGAGTGGCTTACTCAGGGACCCTCAGCCAGTGAGATATCATTCCAAGCCTGCCCTGTCCTCCACCCCTACCCCTGGGCTCTTTCAAGACCCAAGAGCATTCATACTTGCCTGTGGTCCCGAGGACAGCCTGGTGGTCCACAGAGCCACAGTAATTCTGAGATGGGTGTCCTAGGGTGGTTGGGTGGGGTATGCTGGATGGCATCCCCAGTGGACAGAGCTGACTTGTCCCCAGAGTAGCCACACCCCCTGGCAGCCCTGAGTGGCGGTGTCGGCTGTCTGTGGAGGCTGAGCAGTGGAGGCTGTCTGTGGGTCTCCCCCCTCATCAGAGTGGACACCAGGAGCACAGGGGTGCTCTGTTTCTTACTGAATGCGAGTCTGTTTTTAGACCTGAATGACAGGCTTCTTGTGTAGAAATGGCCAGGCCCCAAGTGGCCTGCCAAGAAAAAGTGGTCTGTCACCAGGCCCGCGGGTGCCCACTCAGACAGACACTGCGATGGCAGTGGGCACTGTGAGCCAGGCCAGCCACAGGCAGGGCACTCTGCAGGCCAGCTGCCTGCTTGTCGATGTGTCTGGGCTCTGGAGGAGATCCTGGCTCTCCCCCCGAGGAAAGCCTCCCGCTTTCAGCTGTTTGTCCCTGTCTGTCTCCCTGGTGACTGTGCTCACTCTGCAGGCCTTTGAGCTACTGGCAGGAGGGAGAGGCAGCAATTGCTGGACTCAAACCTCTGGAGGCAGGAGGAGAAGGGAGGGATCCTGAGCATGGCTGGGCCTGAGCCATGCGGGTGCCTCCGGGCCCAAGGGGTGGGAAGCAGCCCCTGGTGTGACAGGTATGAAGGGCCTTCTCCCGCTGGTTGCTGCTTCCGTGGGTTGCAGTCTCCAGGGAATGCAGGGCATGTGTGGAGTTTTATAGGTACAGTTGGGACCCAGGGGGCCCTGGTCCTCGCTTCCCACAGGGAGATGCACCTCTAGGTATCTTTCCAGGAATGGGAGGCTCTTGGCTCTCAGTGGTGCTGGTGGGATGCGCAGCTAAGTGGGCAGGGTGAAGCTCATGGTCCACCCTGGACTGGACTGTGACCTCTCTCGGATCCTCACTGCAGTCCTGGAGATCTGTAGGTCAGATGTGGGAGCTCCCTCCCCAGCCCCATCTTACAGAGACACAGACTCAGAGTCAGGGGAGTTAGAAGCAAACCTGAGTGAGTCGCTCCCACTCCAGGTCTTGTGTCCGTGTCACGAGGGCCCATTGCTTCTAAACAAATGACACAGAGGAGCTTTTCAGCTGGGAGAGTTTCAGTCAATAAGTGGTTCTTGAGCACTTACTGAATGCCTGGTGCTGTGCGAGGCTGTGGGGAATGAGAGGCAAGTGGGACATAATCTGGTGGGGATACAGAGTTAGAGTAGGTAGTGTAGACCCGAGATGTGTCTGAGCAGATAGTGTGTGGACTGGGAGGGAGGGCTCAAGTCTCAGGAAAGAGGGGTCTTCTCTCTAGAGATTCAGGTCCTGCTTCAGGGAGGAGGTTTTGGGGTTGAGGACAGGGTTTCCGTCTTGGGCAAGAACAACTAGCTCTACAGAGCCTGAGCACTTCAGCACCCCACCCCCAGAATTCCATCCCCACATGGAGCTGGGCCTCTCTAGTGTGCTTTGAGAACCCGGACCTGAGTAAGGAGGTCAAGGAGCAGGGAAAAGGGGGATTGAGCCCATTATCTAGGGGTAGTCTAGTCATCCAAGTGGCAAATGTCTGGGTGGACCAGATCTGGCTCTAGCAAGAAACCCACCAAGGGTAGGAGGTGAGATCAGCTTTGCTCTCAGCTCCTCCAGCATCCACTAGACAGGAAGACCCAAAGGTTTCTGAGACACCTGTAGGGAGGAGCTCTTGTTAGCACCAAAGCTCAAAGGGATCCTTGTTTAGCCTGAATCCACTTCCACCAAGGACTGGGCCAACCCACTCCCTCTCCTGAGCCATTCTCTCTCCCAGTTTGTTTGATTCTTTGAGTAGAGAAGACTGGGAGTGCGGGGAGTTCTGATCTAGGGAACCCCAAACCCCAGAAGGGCCCCTGCATGGTCATCTCAGCCCAAGAGACATCCCTTTTGTCTGGAGTCTTTGGGGAGAGTGAGGGCTTTGCCAGGGAAAGTCACAGGAAGGGTACAATTCCAGGTCCCTCAAATCGTCCAGCCTGTGCTACAGTGGAAAGAGTACTTTCTGCCAGACTGGAATATGGATCATCGCTCCGCACGTTCCCAGGTGTGTGCTCAGGAGCAAGGTGCTTTTCCTCTTGGGGCCTGATTTTCCATCTGTATAATAGGATGATGCCATCTCCCTTCAGAATGAGAGCTGAACTGAGGATAGAGGGATTCATGAGCTACATCTCTTCACCTTCTCTCTATGGGCCACCCCAGGAAGAAACATGGCTTCCTGGGCTAATGGGGCATGTCTTGATCTGAATACTTTCCTGAGTTTTCTGCTTGTCCTGGCCCTCAAGGCTCATGGTGGGTATGAACTTTTATAATTTATTTATTTATTTGTTGCTGGGAATGGAACCCAAGGCCTTGTGCATGCCAGGCAAGTGCTTTTCTGCTAAGCCACACCCCCAGCCCTCATGATGGCTATGGCTATGGCTGTGGCCCAGGCTTGGGTGTCAGACAGACCTCCTTGGAGCCCAAGCCTGTATGGATGAGTCACAGAGCCCCTTCTGCCTCCATTTTCCACCATGGAGTGTGGGTGGTACCACTTGCTCTATGTTAGTTGCCTAAATGATGTCATCTACAGTGTGCCCTAGTTTGCAGTCTTTGGGTAAACCAGGCAAGGAGGTTTCTTGTTGGCTGCAAGTGCTGAGCACTGGAAGAAGAATTAGAAGTTAATGGGCAGCCAAGGAAAGCAGACCTCCTTTGCTGTCTCCCAGACTCTGGGCTTGGACTGTGGCCCCCTGTCTTTATCTGTACCTTTCTCATTACCTCTTGCCTCTGGGTGCTCCCAGAGGTTCTGCTCCAGATCCACAAAGCTAGGTCCCCTGCCGTGCTCTCTCCTACCTGTTAGTTCTGGCTGCACATCTCTACATCTTGTGTTTCCCAGTTAGGATTCATTAGAAAGGGAATTTGATGGGTCAGCTCCTCTCACAGGAGGCTGCTGGTCAGCATGCATATGACTTGGTTTGGGTCTGCAACACACCTGTGGTTCTGTCCACTGTGGTCAGGGTCACTTATTAGGTCTTGTGAAAAGGGGTCTCTGGCCCTCCACATACGTCCTTCAACTCAAAGCTGCTCCAGGAATGAAGGGAAACAAATTAATATTCCAGTCTAGGTGTCCTCAGGCCCCTTCCTAAGAAGTTAGGTTTGTGACTACACAAAGCACCTGCCCCTTCCTGAGCCCTTTGCAGTGGGATCTGAGCAGAATGTCTGCATTGGGACCCAGTGAGTATCCTCCTGATTCCTCCACACCTGCTTACTAGCCCAACTCCCCAACTATGGGAATTTCTCCCCTTTTTTAGTCAGTGGAAAGGGTGTAGCAGTTTTCCTAGATATGGAATGTCATCTTCGAAAAGAAAAAATGAAGTGCAACTTCTGTGTAAGTACAGAGACAGCAATTATAGGATTATTTTTGCAAAGGAAGGAAATTACTTTTTACTCTCAATTTTCAGTGTGTTGATGATAAACCTGACTCTGTCCACCTCATCCTAGCTAGCCCTCAGGGGAGGTTTATTAACTAGTTTCTGGCCTGTGTGTCAGGACTGTGATTTTTGAAAGAACATAATGTGGCTCAGAGTTGACCTCTGATATGTGGGAAAGCTGTCTTGTCACTTCCTTAGCACAACCCAGGACAAGGGCTACATGGGCTTAACAGACAAAGGAAATCTGTATTAACAAGAGGATGCCCTGCCTGAGCACAATGGAAGGCTCAGGATGATCAGGACCTGAGGTCCTGAGCCCAGGCAGATGGACTGGCCTCAGAGAGGTACAGTATGCTTCTCCCTCTGAGCCACAAAGAAGGAGGAGGCAGAACTTTTCCAGTGGTTTCATTTTTTTGTTTTGTTTTGTTTGTTTGTTTTTAGTTGTTGATAGACTTTTATTTTATTTATTATATATGGTGTTGAGAATTGAATCCAGTGCCTCACACTTGCCAGGCAATTGTGTGACCACTGAGCCCCAGCCCCAGCCCCTCCAGTGGTTTCTTAACACTGGCTCTGGGTTCACATCACTTGGGAGCCTTTAAAAGCCTCAAGCTAAACATACATCTGCCTTGTGACCCAGCAATTCCAGCCCAAAGTGTTTGCCCAGGAAAATGAACACTTGTGCTTACAAGAGTGGTACTAGAGTTTTCATTCCACTTTCATAACAGGCAAAAACTGGAAAGTGCTCATGTGCCTCAATGGCAAACACAAAAATTGTATACCCATACAAAGGAATTGTAAATCCTAGTGAAATCACCCACTTCACAATCACACAAAACTGTGATTCTTTCAAACACATAGCTGAGTCAAAGCAGCCACATAAAAGAGTGTGTAGGTATAATTCTGTTTACATAAAGTCCCCAAAGAGGCAAAGGAAATCTCTGTTGGAAATCAGGGTGATGGTTTTCCCTGGAATTTGAGGGGACAGGCAGTGAAACTAGAGAGAGGAGGAGGAGGTTCTGGGGGACTGGTCCCTGGGTATGTGTTCATTTTTGAGATGCACTTAATTATATGTGCGCTTTTCTATATTTAAATTAACTTTAATAAAACAACTTAAAAATATATAGTCACTAAATGCTACCCCCAGAGATTCTGATATAACTGTTTGGAAACAGGACTCAAGCATCTCTTTTTTTTTTTCCCCTATAAAGACTTGCAGGTGATTTTTTAGTTGTAGATGGTCATAATACCTTTATTTTATTTATTTATTTTTATGCTGTGTTGAGGATCGACCCCATTGCCTCACATGTGCTAGGCAAGTGCTCTACCACTGAGCTACAACCCCAGGCCCTTTGCTGGTGATTCTACTGTGAATCTAGCCAGCTCCACATTAGTGCTAACAGGAGAGTGGGTGGCTTTTCTCTGTGAGGAAGGAGGTGAGCTGTGTGTGCTGAGTGGGAGGTAAGGAAGGAATGAGGGGACCTGGGGAGCATTTAGACCACCCTAGAGGGAGGAACCCCAAATCTAGGCAGCTGAACCTCAGCTTTCGAAGCTCTATTCTTGTGTCTGGATGGCTGCTTCCATTGTTTGTGGGTTTGTAATCTCAGGGGTCGGTCTGTGCTAAAATGCATTTTTTGATTTTTCTGGTTTTTTTTTTTTGTACTGGAGATTGAGCCCAGGGATGTATAACCACTGAGTTGGATCCCAAGATCTTTTTATTTTTTTTTTATTTTGAGACAGGGTCTCATTAAACTGCTTAGTGCCCCACAATATCACTGAGGCTGGCCTGGAACTTGAAATTCTCCTGCCTTAGCCTCTCAAGTTGCTGGGATTGTAGACACAATTGTAGATTGTGCCTGGCTATGATGCATTTTTTTTTTTTTTTTTTTTTTTGAGAATAGTGCTGTTTTTAGATCTCACCCTGGAGATCACAGAGGCCTAATGTCCTGGCTGGCTGTGGGAGAGCTGGCTGCGGGAGAAGTGGAGCTGGCCCTGGGTATGACCTGTAAGATGCTCTTGTATTTCAGATGTCCATGAGAAGTCAACGTGGGAGAGTGTGGGCATCTCCCTGGGGGAGGAGAAGCCCCAGGGGATGACCCTGCTGCCCGTTGTAGAGAAGGCCATTCCTGTGACCACATAGGCCAAACTGAGTCAGGCTGCCAGGCCTGACTGGGGTTTTTGCTTCAGTGGTGGCCACAGGCATTGCTACTGCCAAAGGCACCCT